ATTGCTGAATCGAGGAACTTCAGTGGATATTTTAAAGATGCTCTCCAATGTGGTTGTACAATCTTACATTCCTATCATTGATGTTTGAAAGTTCGCATTTTCTCATACCCTCATTAACACTTGATATTGCCAGATTTTAAAGACTTTTGCTAATCTGAAGGGTGTATGTATCTTCTTTTTTTTTTTGCTGTGTTTATTTGTAGGCACATTCTTTATATATTCTGAATACTAATACTGTGTCAGCTCTATAGACTGAAAATATCATCTCCCAGTCCGTAACATATTTTATAGCTTGGTTTATGATGTCTTTTGTCATATATAATTGCAGCCCTGGTGGCACAGTGGTTAAGCACTCAGCTAACTGAACGGTCAGTGGTTTAACCCACTAGCCTCTCTGCAGGAGAAAGATGTGGCAGTCTGCTCCCACAGATTACAGGCTTAGAAACCCTTTGGGGCAGTTCTACTCTGTCTTATAGGGTTGCTGTCAGAATCAATTCCATGGCAATGGGTAGGTAATTTCTTTCTTTTATGGTTTCTAAAGCTTTTGGTGTCTTTTTTTACTTTAAATATTTATTTTAAAATTTACATACAATAAAATTCATTCTTTTTTTGTGTGTACCGTTCTAAGAGTTTTGACAACTACCTAACTGTGGCAACCACTGATCTGTTTCCCATCTATTTTATAGTATCGCCTTTTCCAGAAAGTCTTTTAAGTGTAATTATTACAGTATGTAGCTCTTTTAAGTCTAGCTTCTTTTATTTAGTGTAATGCATTTAGGTTGTGTCTGTATTTTGTTTTTTGATTTACCAATTGAATGTCATTTTGTTCTTTCCAGTTTTCGGTGATTATGAACAAAACTAGATAAACATCTGTGTACAGGTTTATGTGTGAGCATGTTTTCATTTCTCTTGGGTAATGAGTGGGATGGTTAGTTCTTATAGTCATCTTATGTTTAACTTTATAAAGACAAACCTCTACGAAGTGGTTGTGCCATGTCACACGCCCACTTGCAATAAAGCATGTATCTTCTTTGACAGAGTATCTGCTCAAAAGTTTTATGTTTTTTTGTTATTGTTGCTGTTTGTTTTTTTAATTATCGAGAAATCTGTACGTCTGGATATACGTCATAGGCATGTTTTGTAAATATTTTCCCCCAGTCCTCTCTTTCCCTATCTTAACATTCAAAGATCAAAAATTCTTAATTTTAATGGAGTCCAATTTATCAATTTTTCCTTTTATGTACTGTGCCTTTGGTGTCACATATAAGAACTCTTTGCCTAACCCAGGTTACAAACATTTTCTGCAATTTTTTCTAGAAGTTCTAGTTTTATGTTTTGCATATAAATCTATGATCCACTTTAAGTTAATGTTTCTGTGAGGAGTGAGGTTAAGTCTATTTTTTGGATATGCTTTTTCAATTGTTCCAACACCATTTGTTGTAAAAGACTATCCCATCTCCATTGAATTGTCTTTGAACCATTGTAAAAAATCAGTTGGCCTTATTTGTGTGGGTCTATTACTGGAGTTTCTGTGTTCATTACTGTAAGTCTTTAAATCAGATATCATGACCTCTCCAACTTTATTCACTTTTTTCAGAATTGTTTGGACTATTCTACTTTGCTTTCCCATATAAATTTTCAGTTTGTCAGTGTGCCAAAAAAAATCGGGCTGAGATTTTTGTGATTAGGTTAAATCTATAGATAAATTTGGAAAGAATCTCTTTCCATTTATTTAGGTCTTTAAAAAATTTCTTTCATCAGTGTAATGTAGTGTACAGCATACAAATCCTGTACATATTTTTTGAGATTTACACCTAAGGATTCCATGGTTTTTGGTGCCATTGTAAGCATTTCAATTTGCAATTGTTTCTGTTGAATAGAAATACAGCTGATATCTGTGTGTTAACCTTATATCCTGCAACCTTGCCAAACTCAAATAGATGCTTTGGGATTTTTATATAGACAGTCATGTCATCTGTGAATAGAGAATTTTATTTCTTCCTTTCCAATCTGTATGTTTTCATTTCTTTTTCATTTATAACTGCACTGGCCTGGACTTCCAGTAATATGTTGAATAGGCATGGTGAAAGTGGGTATCACTGCTTTGTTCCAATCTTTAGTCTTTCACCATTAGGTATTATGTTAGCTGTGTTTTGGTAAATACCCTTCATCAGGCTAAAGTTCCTCTCTACTTTGTTGG